AACCTTGGTTGAGAGAATCGAGTGCCATCTGTTAGCCTGAGGTTTCCCACAATCCACCTTCAGTCTGTTTCTTTCTTTCTTTCTTTATTTAGGCTGCACCAGGTCTTAGTTGCGGCATGCGAGATCTAGTTCCCCAACCAGGGATCAAACCCGGGCCCCCTGCATTGTGAGCATGGAGTCTTACCCACTGGACAAACAGGGAAGTCCCTCAGTTTGTTTCTTTACCGAATCTCCTGATGTCTCTCTACACGAACCTTCTACAAAATCAGACTGGTTAGCTTATTGACTACAAATGGCAGTGTGTATTCATATCAGTTTACTTTTTTTTTGGAAGCACCTGTGTTTTGGTTTGTTTTCTCTTTTTTTTGGTTTCTTAAATGAAAAAAATGTTTAATTGTGATAAAATACATGTAACATAAAATGTACCGTCTTAACCATTTTAAGTATACAGTTCAGTAGTGTTAAGTATTAATATATTCACACCGTAGTGCTTACCTTCTAGTGTTGATTCACACTTCTGGTCTGTAATACCCCTTCTTAACTCTCTACTTTCTGAATCTTAATTTTTTCCTCAAGACTTGGACAAGCACCATCTAGTCCAAGAAACCATTTTCCAGCCACAGCGTTACTGGCCCCCCATCGTCTCGCCTTTTATTGGTAGCAATAGCAATATTACTTATTTGGTCCTTAGCTGCTTCAGTCTAACCTGTTTTTATATCTAACTCCCCAAGGTGATTATTGGTCTTTTTTTTTTTTTTTGGCTGCATTGGGTCTTTATTGCTGTGCGCGGGCTTTCTCTAGTTGCGGCGAGCGGGGGCTGCTCTTCGTTGCGGTGCATGGGCTCTGGGCGCGCGGGCTTAGGTAATTGTGGCACGTGGGCTCAGTAGTTGTGGCTTGCAGGCTCTAGAGCGCAGGCTCAGTAGTTGTGGCGCACAGGCTTAGTTGCTCCACGGCATGTGGGATCTTCCTGGACCAGGGCTCGAACCTGTGTCCCCTGCATTAGTAGGAAGATTCTTAACCACTGTGCTACCCAGAGAAGTCCCTCTGGTGACCAGGTTTGTTCCAGCATATATCCAGAATAAAATCAGATTCAGTATGAAATTTATATATGTGAACACAGATAATACAAATCACTTAAATGGTTATATATGTGTTACAGGTAATTCTAGGTGACTATATATATATATATATATATACATATGTACATGTACATCAAGACTAATATCTGAAAGGGAGTTCTGTGCCTGAGCCAGCAACGCTTCATGTGTGTACACAACTTGCTATTTTTTTTAAGCTTCTCATCTTCCTGGCCTCATTTTCTTTTCTTTTTTTAAACAAGTTTATTTTATTATTTATTTATTTGGCTGCACTGCATGGCATGCGGGGTCTTAGTTCCCAGACCAGGAATCAAACCCGTGCCCCCTGCAATGGAAGCATGGTGTCTTAACCACTGGATCACCAGGGAAGTCCCCTGGCCTGATTTTCTTTATTTTATTTTTTTGGTCGTGCCGCACGGCTCGTGGGATCTTAGTTCCCTGATCAGGGATCAAATCTGGGCCCCCTGCAGTGGAAGCCCAGAGTCCTAACCACTGGACCACCAGGGAATTCCTGGTACATGACTTTTAAAAGTGCCCTCCCATCCACTACTCTCTTTTATCCCCACTGCATTTGTAAGGTAGGAGGACCCGTGGTTGTGGTCCTTAGATTTGAGAACTGAGGCTCTGAGAAGCTCATGGGTTTGCCCAGGGTCACACATCTAGTACATGACAGCAGGACTGAATCAAAACCCAGGTCTTCTGACTTCAGTGTTTTTTTCCGTGATGCTACTCGGCCTCTTCTCATTTGACTTTAATCTTATCTTGGGCTTCCTTCCAAGGTACACGCTGTGCAAGGCTCTCGAATTCCGAGTGCCAGAGTCCTGCAGGTGAGCAGGGCTGCCAGACGCTGCGAAGCTTTGGCTTTTAAAAAGAAAAAACATTATTTATTTATTTTTGGCTGCATTGGATCTTTGTTGCTGCGTGCAGGCTTTTCTCTAGTTGCGTCGAGCGGGGGCTACTTTTCGTTGCGGTGTGCAGGCTTCTCATTGCGGTGGCTTCTCTTGTTGCAGAGCACGGGCTCTAGGCATGCGGGCTTCAGTAGTTGTGGCGCACGGGCTTCAGTAGTTGTGGAGCGTGGGCTAAGTAGTTGTGGCTTGCGGGCTCTAGAGCACAGGCTCAGGAGTGGTGGTGCACGGGCTTAGTTGCTCCGCGGCATGTGGGATCTTCCCGGACGAGGGCTGGAACTCATGTCCCCCTCATTGGCAGGTGCCCCAGGGACGTCCGAAGCTTTGTCTTAAAACTGCCTCCAGCTTGCACCTGCTGCTGGACTGAGTGCCCCTCAGAGCCCCCCAGGGCCCCTCTCTGCAGCGCCTTCCGCTCCAGGTTTGCCTTTTTAAGGAGGATCTCTTCCCTCTTTCCTGGTCCTTCTGCCTGAGGCTTAGGAAGATCTGCCACCTGACAGACTCTTGCATTGTGACGTCTTCTGTCCTCCCCCGGCCCTGGAGTTGGTGGAGGTGCTGATATCCCATGCCCACCTGAGCCAGCTCTGCCTCTTTCCTCTTGACCAAGGTCCCTGCTCTTACCCGTCTTTTTTTTTTTTTTTTTTTTTTTTGCGACGCCTCAAGGCTTGTGGGATCTTAGTTCCCTGACCAGGGATTGAACCCAGGCCCCAGCAGTGAAAGCACCAAGTCCTAACCACTGAACTGCCAGGAATTCCCTTACCCTTCCTTCTAATGAATGTTTAATTAACTTTGAATGACGGTCTTATATCTAAAATGCTATTAGTCAGCTTTTTATTGCCTGCCATTGCCCTCTGATTAAAGAAATAACTTATTTTTCCCTTTTGCCCTTTCAGAAATTAGATAACAAGTAGCAAAATCATTTGAAACCATTTAAAATCCCATTTAATCACAAGGATGTTGTCATAACTTCATCATCAGTGAAATACTGATAAAAAGGCCACGCTGTTGGATGGGAATGTTGATCTGGATTGTAATGGGATAATTGTATTTAGGTAAAACCTTTCATCCAAGTACTTCAAAGGCCTTCACCTTGTTTAATAGTTATTATCAGGCCCTGAAGAGTGACATCAGTATACCATAGTCCTAGATTGTGTGTGTGTATGTGCACATTTGCATATGTATTTAGCATTTTGTTTGTTTTCCTAGGCTCACCATAGAAAGTTTCAGGAACCTAACTCTTGCTGTGGATTTCATTAAAAAAAACGATACCTAAGGAATCGCATACATAACTTGCCTTTGTTGCGTGGGATTAAGATGTGAATGGGGTTACAAAATAAAGAGAGACGGCTCTGGAGCCAGGAGGGTGGAACTGGGGGATGAAGGAGCAGTGACTAAAATAGAGGCTGAAGAGATACCCTTCCCCAAATGCCCCCAGTCGTGAGATAGGTTTCATCCTTGTTGGCTCTACTAGGTGGGTTCACGTAAAAATGATTCTGTGAACAAGGTCTTGGAGAGAAGATAATTTAACAGAACTTTTGAAATTCAAAACAAGCCTGTGTCCTGGCTGAGGGAAAGGTCCCTATCTCTGCAATCACTTTGAGGCTGTTGAAGCAGCGTCTGGATAAAGGGATGGGTTACTTAAGAGAAGAACCTTTTAGAGAAAAGACTAGCAAAGGTTTTTTTTTTTCACCCCCCGCACCATGTGGATCTTAGTCCCCCAACCAGGGATTGAACCCGCGCCCCCTGCAATGGAAACATGGAGTCTTAACCACTGGACGGCCAGGGAAGTCCCCAAAAGACTAGCAAGCGTGGCCACAGGGATGACCCAGTGCTGGCCCCCTTCCCACATCTTTCTGCTGTTTGTTTTTCACATAGCAGCTCATTTAATGCTGCAGGATGTAACTTATAAGGTGATTTTTAAAAATCAATGTTTTATGTTTTCCTCTCTCTAATCCCCCCCCCCCCCCCCACCGCCGCGCGCCAGAAGAAACAGTTCTTTCCTATTGGGAAAGAACTCAGCCGTTCATGCCTCTTAACTCAGCAGGGGGAGACAAAGTTCCAAAGACCCTGCCCGCTGCACCTGTCAGCACCAGAAAGCCACATGTGCTTCATTTCATCATGACTTTACATCCATTGGTTTTGAAACCCTCCTGGCTAGTTATTCTCTCAGAAGTTCTCGGTCCCCCCACCTGGCAGCCTTCTGTTACCACTGGTGATGCCCCACCTGTTTTACTGAAAGATCAGGATTATCTGGAGTTTCTCCACTTGGGCATTTCTCTGTTTTGCAGAGGAATTAATGCCTTAACTTCACTCGAAATTCCATTCCTTTTGATTAGTTTCTCTCCATCTTTTTTTTCCTCGTCTTTCAATCCTCCAGGCCTCTCAGCTGAGACCTTGAACCTTCCCTTCCACACCTTGCTTCTACCATCCCCCTACTATGAATAGTAACCTGTTCTCCAAATGGATGGTCTTCCCACGCGCACCTCAGCCATGCTCTCCCTGTGAGGCTCTCGTTGTTAGATGTGCTCTACTGAGTGAAAATCTTTGGTTTTTTTAAAAAATTCATTTATTTTATTTGTTTTTATTTTTGGCTGCATTGGGTCTTCGTTGCCGCGCACGCGCTTTCTCTAGTTGTGGCGAGGAGGGGCTACTCTTCGTTGCGGTGTGCGGGCTTCTCATTGCGGTGGCTTCTCTTGTTGCGGAGCACGGGCTCCGGGTGCGCGGGCTTCAGTAGTTGTGGCACGTGGGCTCAGTAGTTGTGGCTCGCGGGCTCTAGAGCACAGGCTCAGTAGTTGTGGCGTACGGGCTTAGTTGCTCCGCAGCATGTGGGATCTTCCCCGACCAGGGCTCGAACCCGTGTCCCCTGCATTGGCAGGTGGATTCTTAACCATTGCGCCATCAGGGAAGCCCCCTGAGTGAAAATCTTACAGTGTCTTCCATTTGTCCTAATTCTTCCAAAGTAACACAGATATATATTTTCTCTTGATATATTTGGAGACAACTTCCCTCTTTCCCTTTCAGCTTTTTATGCTTCTAATCTTAAATTTTTATTGAAGCTATTCCCCCAAGCATTGCTTTCTGATCAAAGCTGGCCGTCTCTGTTCTTTACTTTTGATGTCGTTAACTACCTTCTTATTCTTTGAATTCCACTTTTGTCTCCATTTTGATATCTCCTTTTCCTCCTAATCCTCAGTCGTAAGAAAACTCTCTAGACAAAATTGTTTCATCTTCTGTGTTCCAGACGCTCTCGTTAATACTCTATTTTTAGCTTTGTCATCACTCGTCCACAAAACTCTAGAAAGTCAGGACTACCTTCTAATCATTTTGAAAAATCCTCTCATACAGTGCCTGGCAGGTAGGTGGTAGAACTTAGTGTTTAATTTTTCTCTGTCCAGTTCCAGTACTTCTTTTACACAGTTCGCTGTTTCATATTTTTCTAAAACCTCCCAATGACTACCAATTTTTTCTCTCTAGCCCCAATTTGTTACTCATTTTCCAATCTTAAATTGCCTTGCGATCACCAGGATGTCCTGCTGGCAGCCCAGTGTAATAGAGTTCATTTTCTCACCCCAGTCCCTGCAAACCCACTTCCCACATAACTTTCCTAGTGGTCTTTGTTTAATAAGCTGCTTGAAGCATTTTTGAGTAAACTTAGGCATCAAGGCACATTTTGATCCTTATTCGTTAAGTAGCTCTCTCGCATTACTGGGCCTGGAGTCTCCACTGTGCCGTAATTCTCACATTTTCTGGGTTGTCTTTAACTGTCTGTGGTAACGCCATCTTCCCCAGGCCCCCAGGCTTAAGGATACTTGTGGATACATCTTTTTCTCTCTCCTTTGTCCTCAGCCTCCAGGCGTTGCTGATTCTTTCTCACTTGCTTTTCTAGCTCATGTTTCTTGTTGATTTCTAAGCCATTTTCCTCTGCCTGAATTATTCTCAATGGCCTTATTTTTGGTGTCCCTCTTCTAGGCTTCCCTGCTCCAGTCTGTGCCATGCTCAACTCTCAGAATAATCCTGTTAAACAGTATTTTTGTGGTGTTATTCTCCTGCTCATATATCAAAAAAGGACTTTCTTTCCTGGATTAATGTTGAGATCTTGCATGAAGCCTCATCTCTAGCTAGAAAATCGGGGAGACCAGAGATCTGAGGGTAAGTAGTAGTGACACCTCTCTTCTACTGATGTCTTTTTTTTTTTTTACCATGCTGTGTGGCTTGTGGGATCTTAGTTCCCGGACCAGGGATCGAAGCCGGGCCCCCTGCAGTGAAAGTGCAGAGTCCTAACCACTGGACCACCAGGAAATTCCCCTCTGATGTCTTGTTTGTGAAAGTATTGAACACCACTCTTTCTTTGTATTTTTTTTTAAATAACAACTTTATTGAAATATCATTTACACATATATGTCACCCATTTAAAGTGTACAGTGGTTTTAGGGATAGTCACGGGTTTATCTCATTTTAGAACATTTTCATCACCCCCAAAAGAAACCCCGTACCTCTTAGCAGTCACTCTGTATTCTCCTCTCTCCCCAGCTTCTGGCAACTAGTGATTTACATCCTGTATCTATGGATTTACCTATTCTGGACATTTCGTATAAATGGAATACAGGGTCTTTTGTGATTGGCTTCTTTCACTTAGCGTGATGTTTTCTAGGCTGTTCTAACTGGGTTTTCTTAGATCCTGTATTTGTCTGTTTGGCGTCCATTCATCAGAAGGCCAGCTGTCTTCATTGTATCATCTTATTCTCTGTATTCTTGATGCTCTGGCATTTGTGGGCTCCCTGCCCCTCCCAGGACTAGCCGGCTCTGAGAGATAGGAAAGGGCTCACCCTGTAGCACACTTTTCATACGCAAACGATCCAGTCCAGAGCCCACACCCCGAACCAACCAGGAACCAACCACGTCCTTTATCAAACTCTCACACACCAAGCTAATCTCTCCCCTGCCCTAAGTCAAACGAGGGCCAGGTGCCAAACAACTAAGAGACGGCCCTTCCCAAAGCCTGCCAGAATTATTCAGACTAGTCAGTCCTAAACTCTTTACCCTGCCCTGCTTTGCCTTTCCTGCAGAAAACACAATAAAGGCTCTGGCTCAGGCTTTCCCTGGCTCCTTCCTCCTCCTGACCCAAACTGAAGCTTCCCCATAGGGCCCGGTGGGTGTGGTGTGCTTGCCTTTCAGGCACCGTGAGTAATAAAAATCTTTCAATGGCACTGACCTCTCCTTGTCGTCATTCAGTCACTTCCATAAGTTAAAAATCTCACAGGTACAATTGAGACAAAGGCTCATGTCTGTTGTCGCATGTTCATTCCTTTCTATGACTGAATTATGTGCAGACACCACATTTTGTTTATTCACTCATCAGTTGATGGCCATTTGGGTTATTCTCACTTTTTGGCTATTATGAATAATGCTGCTAGGAGCATTTGTATATAAGTTTTTATGTGGATGTATGTTTTCGGGTCTCCTGGGTGTGGAATTGCTGGGTCATATGGTAACTATAATTAACATATGGAACTGCCAAACAACTTTATTTATTTATTTTTTTAACGTTTTTTATTGGAGTATAATTGTTTTACAATGGTGTGTTAGTTTCTGCTTTATAACAAAGTGAATCAGTTATACATATGTCCCCATACCTCCTCCCTCTTGCGTCTCCCTCCCTCCCACCCTCCCTATCCCACCCTTCTAGTTGGTCACAAAGCTCGGAGCTGATCTCCCTGTGCTATGCAGCTGCTTCCCACTAGCTATCTGTTTTACTGAACTACTTTCTGAAGTGGCTGCACAATTTTACAATCCCACCAGCAATCTGCGAAAGTTCCAATTTCTCCACGTCGTCACCAGCACTTGTTATTGTCCGTCTTTTTAAAATTTTAGTCATCCTAATAGATTTGAAGTGGTGTCTTACTGTGGTTTGATTTGCGGTTCTCTCTAATGACTGATCATGTTGGGCATCTTTTCATGTGCTTATTGGCCATTTGTTTGTCTTCCTGGAGATGTGTCTCCTTTGCCCATTAAAAATTGGGTTATTTGTCATTTTATTGTTGTGTTGTGAGAGTTCTTTACATATTATAGATATAAGTCCCTTATCAGATATATGATTTAATATATTTTTCCTATCCTGTGGATTGTCTTTTCACTTTCTTGCTGGTATCCTTAGAAACACAAATTTTTAAAATTTTGATGAGGTCTAATTTACCTGTTTTTTCTTTTGTCACTTCTGATTTTGGTGTCATACATAAGCTATCTTTGTCTAGTCCAAGGTCATGAAGATTTACTCGTAAGTTTTCTTCTAAGACTTTCATTATTTTAGCTCTTATATTTAGGCATATGATCCATTTTGAGTTAATTTTTGTATGTAGTATTAGATAGAGTCCAAGTTTTATTCTTTTGCATGTGGCTATCATTATCCCGCTGCATCATTTGTTGGCAAGACTATTCTTTCCCCATTGAATTGTCTTTTTTAAAAAATTATTTATTGACTTTATTTATTTTGGCTGTGTTGGGTCTTCGTTGCTGCTCATGGGCTCTCTCTAGTTGTGGTGAGCGGGGGCTGCTCTTCGTTGCAGTAGATCAATTAGGTGGAGAGTATTGCCATCTAATAATATTAAATCTTCCAGTCCATGAATATAGGATGTCTTTCCATTTATTTAGGTCTTCCTTAATTTCTTTTTTTTTAATAAATTTATTTATTTTTGGCTCTGTTGGGTCTTTGTTGCTGCACGGGCTTTCTCTAGTTGTGGCGAGCGGGCGCTACTCTTCATTGTGGTGTGTGGGCTTCTCATTGAGGTGGCTTCTCTTATTGTGGCGCACGGGCTCTAGGCACGCGGGCTTCAGTAGTTGTGGCACGTGGGCTCAGTAGTTGTGGCTTGCGGGCTCTAGAGTGCAGGCTCAGTAGTTGTGGTGTATGGGCTTAGTTGCTCCGCGGCATGTGGGATCTTCATGGACCAGGGCTCGAACCCGTGTCCCCTGCATCGGCAGGCAGATTCTTAACCACTGTGCCACCAGGGAAGTCCTGGTCTTCCTTAATTTCTTCCAGTGATGTTTCATAGTTTTCACTGTACAAATATTGTACTTTTTCTGTTACAGTTATTCTTAAGGGTTGTTTTTGTTGTTGTTGTTGCTATTGTAAATGGAATTGTTTGCTTAATTTCAGTTCATTTTGTTCATTGCTAGTATATAGAGATACGATTGATTTTTGTATATTGACCTTATATCCTGCAACCTAGCTGAACTTCTTTTTTTTTGTTCCAATAATTACTTTGTGAATTGCTTAGGATTTTTCATATACAAGATCACATCATCGGGGAATAGAGATGGTTTTAGTTTTTCCTTTCCAATCTGGATGCCTTTTATTTCTTTTTCTTGCCTAATTTCCCTGGTTAGAACATCCAGTACAATGTTGAATAGAAGTGGTGAGAGTAGCCATCCTTGTCTTGCTTCTAATCTTAGGAGGAAAACATCCAGTCTTTCACCAGTAAGTATGTTAGCTGTGGGTTAACAAAGAGCCTCTTGCCTTTTTGTCATCCTACACTATCCAGTTTCTCTTTCTACTCTCTAACTTTACAGCATAGTGGAAAGAATGTGAACCTTAGAATCAGACTCGGGTTTGAATTGACTGTTTTATTAATTCTACCAGGAAATGTTGAGTTTTAGAGACCAGTGAATAAAAGCAAATCCTTGCCCCCAAACTGCTGCTAATACAGTGAGAGAGACTGTTGTATGGGTTAAATCTTGCAGTGTGATAAGTGCTGTGATGTGGGTATGCTCAGAGCAGTGAGGAGTACAAGAAAACAGGTCCTTGGGAAGATTAGTACAACCTGAGGTTATGATGCCTGAATTGCTCTTGAACTGTAGGAGATGGTCTTGGAAGAGAGGAAACATGTGCAGAGAAGGGAATGTGGCTGGATTCTGTGAACCACAGGTAGGTCTGCGAGGCTGGGGATGGAGTGCTTGCAAGTGAAGGGCCAGAGGTGATCCTGGAGTTAGCAGAGCCGTCTCATCAAGGGCCTTGCAAGCTTCTGAAGGCTTTGTGAGGACTGAATTTGTGTGTTAGACCACTTGGGCAGTAGGGAAAGAGATGGACTAGTGATGGGTGAGACCATGAACAGGGAGACCTGGAGACAGGAGGTCATTGGGTAAGCAGGGGAGAATTGAGGGCCTAGAGTAAGGATGGAGGAAAAGAGTAGAATCAAGGAAGATTCAAAGGTAAACTTTTTTTTTTTTGTGGTACGCAGGCCTCTCACTGCTGTGGCCTCTCCCGCTGTGGAGCACAGGCTCCGGACGCGCAGGCTCAGCGGCCATGGCTCACGGGCCCAGCCGCTCCGCGGCATGTGGGATCCTCCCGGACCGGGGCACGAACCCGTGTCCCCTGCATTGGCAGTGGACCCTCAACCACTGCGCCACCAGGGAAGCCCTCAAAGGTAAACTTAATAAGGCATGCTGTGGGCTTCCCTGGTGGCACAGTGGTTAAGAGTCTGCCTGCCAATGCAGGGGACACGGGTTTGAGCCCCGGTCTGGGAAGATCCCACATGCCATGGAGCAACTAAGCCTGTGCACCACAACTACTGAGCCTGCGCACCTAGAGCCCATGCTCCACAGCAGGAGAAGCCATGGCAATGAGAAGCCTGCGACCGCAGCAAAGAATAGCCCCTGCACGCTGCAACTAGAGAAAATCCGCGTGGAGCAATGAAGACCCAACACAGCCAAAAATAAATAAAATAAATTTATAAAAAAAAACAAAAGGCATTTTGCAATTGACTGTGAGACGTGGAGGTGGATTTGGAGAGAATGATTATTGGGTTTCTGATGTGGCCTCTGGGTTGATTGGTGGGTTACCTGAGATTCAGTTTCCTCATCTGTAAAATGGGAAAAATGCTTCACAGATGACAGTATATTCAAATCTCTGAGCACAGGCATGTGGTTGGGACTCAGTAAATACTTATCCTTTTTGCTTGCCCCATTTTGTTTCTGTTTTTTCCATTCTCTAAATGTAGGTCTTCCTTTGGTTCTACCTTCAGAATGCTTTTCTTTGCTGTGTCCCACAGTTCCCACTGTCACCCCCATGCAGATGACCCCCAGATTTCTCTCTTCACCCTGATCTCTCTAGTAAGTATTTTTGACTGTGTTCTGAGCATCTACATGGCCTCTTAGCC